GTTTTAACTTTAGTATTTCTAGTTCACAGGTATAGAATGGTGCTGATGATTATCTATATCTTCTTCTTGTTAAAACCTTTTTACTATTACAGCATCTCACTTCTGTAAATGATTGTTTTCCTTCTTGTCATAAAAACAAAAGGTTTTTAATAGAGGGCGCACTTTTTATAAAAACAAAAGGTTTCTAATAGAGGGCGCACTTTAATCACCATCTTTAAGCTGTTGCTAAATTCTGCTTCAGCTCTGTTGATATGGCAGGAAAACTTTCTCTCTATGTACAATCTGTCTTTCTAACATTCTTTGTAGTAAGACAAGGAATTCATTTTGTATGCCATGTTTTGTTATAATTCTTGAATGTTGATATCAAATGCATGTTCACTAACTTTTCATTATCATGTTGACAATGCTGAATGTAGTGTATTTAGTACTTTATCAAAAATAACATTTTATGCTTTTTGAATGTTTTCTGCAACCCTTCAAATTCCCTAATTTTCCCCCACCGAAATGTTAATGCTACTTTTTTTTACATTTTTTAGTATTTTTTGAACAATCTCTTTGATAATCTTGGATCAGATAGATATAATTTCCCATCTTGATCAATATTTTTGAAAGTAATTTTGGGAGAATTATGCAAGTTTATTTAATGAGAGGTGACGAAAGTTGAACATTGAACTTTTTTACTGTTTTTTTTTTTTTATCTTAATGGTTTTGGTAATGATTTGTTAATTTGATCTATAGACCTCTCTCTCTGTCTGTCCAAACAACTTTGTCGTTTCAGTTTTACAGTAAACTGGTATATAATCCAATTTTCAAATTCCTCAATCATTTGTCCCGTTTTTGTTTAGTGTCGTCACTAAGGTTGAAGGTTAAAGATGCAATATGAACAAAAACATCAATTTTTTGTTTAACTTTGTTGTTTGATACTCAAGACTGTTGACCGAAATGCGGTATGATTTATCATAAATTAAGAATGCAGTACACACAACAGTATTTGTTAGATGAAAAAAAAAAAAAACTACTAAGGCCAGGAAAAAAAAATTCTCTGTTTCTCGTTTCATGGAAGTTTTAAAATGAGGCAGCGAGGCAATTTTTTTTTTTTTGAATACTGAGCTAAAATGGGGGAAAGTTGAGACAAGTGCGATTACAAGCGCATTTTGGAATGCTTTAGAAGGAAGGAAAAAAAAAAAAAAAAAACGTTTGAGCGCATAGTTAAAAATGATGCGCACGGAAACGAGAAACAGAGATATTTTTTTCTCGGCCTAATGCACATTTGCAGTCATTTGTATTGTGCATACCAAAACAACCTGTGCGTATGCATATTTAGAGAATTTCATTGTTTCATCAGACAAACTATGATGTGTGCTACAAGAACAGCTTCCTTGAATCATGATATTTCATAATCAAATCTAGTCATCTTTCTATATACAGTATCAAACAAAAATATTCCCACACATATTGCATCTTAAAACAAAATATAGCATGTATTAAAATCAAACGTAGCTTCCACAATTAGTCTTCCTTCTCTTATGTATTCTTTTAAATGTACAATTATTTTTGTATGGAGGAAGGTGGCCAGTACTAGAAATTCAATTCAGTTAAAACCAGATTATTTTTGGGATATCAAATTTTATGCTAAAACTGTTGTTTTATTCGTTACTAGGTATGACGCAAAACCCCCACCATTCCTCAGGTACTGCTCATCATCAGCAATTGTCCAATGGTGGGGTCTCAAACATTCCACATCCAAGTGCCAAAACTGCCAAAACTACCACTGCCAGTAAGAGTAAGGTAGCAACAGACAAACAAACATTGAGTGCTTCCCAGAAGCCCACAGCCAATGGCAAGAACTCTATGCTTGGTCGGTTGTTTGGTGGATCGAATGCAAAAGAGCGATCAACATCAAAAGATAGAACAACTGCTCCCGTGCAGAGAGATCGGGGTGTCGTCAAAGATCGGGGTACTGTGCGTGACAGAACTACAAGTAGAGATCGTCCTCGATATGGGACACGTTCGTCTGAAAGCAGCACAAGTATAGGAACAGTTTCAAGCAGTACATCTGGACAGAGTACTTCCACAACGGGTAGTTCCCGGTCAGCTGTAAGCTCCTCTACTATCACATCCACATCCACTGCGACCTCAGCAAGCTCCGAGAGTCCAAAAACTGGTTTGAAAGCGATGCAAAGGACATTGGGTAAAGCTTTAAACACTGCAAGAAAAGGATCTCCAAAAACTCAGAGGAAAGAACTTGGTGTTAGAACTGATCCTAAAAAAGTTGCTGGGAGGGCAAGTCGAAGTAGCAGTGTTGTACGTGGTGACGACAACCGTCACGAATTGGAAGCCAAGAGTAATGAAATCAATAGAAACCGAGAACGAGAAGAAGCGAGGCGAACTGGTTCATCTGAGCCAAGTTCTAGTCCGGCGGCTACCAAGAAAACTAACAAAGCAGCAGGATCTGCTTCGAAAGGTGGGAAGAACCTTAACGTTGCAAAAGGGAAAGTGCAAAATACGAGTGGAATTCCTCAGCCTAAAGCATCAGGAAATAAAAACGATTCAAAAACTAAAGCCAATAAAGAGTATGACAAAAATGGGAAGGAGTTACCAAAGACACCCACTCGGGGAGGTTTATATGGAACATATCCCGGACCAGCACGGCAACGAACGCTTTCCCCAAAACCTGGACAGAATGCCAGTACTCAGGATTCAAAAAATGTTCATCAAGAGAACAGGAACTCCTCACAGAGTTCAAAAATGACAAAAAATCATCCGCATAATTCGGTTACAAATAACGGGCCCCTTAGTTATATTAACAGTATCAAGAACACAAGTGATTTGAGTTTGAGTAATCATTCTTTTAGTACAGATTCTACTGCCAGTACGCCCGGGACGATGTCATCGGGAAATAGCTATTCTTCAGATAGTAGCGTAATATACCGTCCACAGAATGAGGAGGTTATGACCACATACGACAAAGATAACAAAGCTGTAACAACGTTCGGGACGCCCGAACAGCAACGGGCAGCAAGGAGCATTTCTGAGCTTCGCCAAAATCTAGATGCAACTTTACAGAATTTACGATCAGTTAGTCCAAGTCCAAGCATTCGTAGTACTGTAGAAACAACTTTTGATAATGATAATGTAGTAACGCAACAGATGCATCATCATCCAAGCCCAAATTCCTCCGTAGATACAAGCCTCAATTCTGGAGAAGGGATGAGGCAGCCAATGTCATATTTACGTAACTTTACCCCAACATCAATGCTGAGTAATTCTATGCAATCTCCTTTAAGATCATTCGGTGAAGGCGGCCCTCTATCAACTGGATTTGGATCACGAGCCGGTTTAAATCGGTTTATTCCAACTCCATCTTCGACTAGAATGTATAGCACGAATTCGTTACGTAGGACAATCTCAAGCAGGAGTCATCTGACTGAAATGAACACAGATCCTTCGCAAATAATGGACGACATCTCTGATCCCGTGAATGAGGACATCGCCAGCGGATACGTCAGTGATGGTGACATTCTGAGTAGAAATGCGCAACTGGATGAGATAGCCAGTGGTTACATGAGTGAAGGAGGCGGTCTGCTGTACAACAAACGAATTCCCGCAAGATACCGTGATGGCATGGCGGCAGTTAGAGAATGTATGTCAAAGACGCTGTCGTTGCCAGATTCAGACAGGTAGGAATGAACCATATTTATTGTCTGTGAGTTTGAAGTGTTTGAAGTTGTGAATGTATGAATGTCTGAATGAGGGAGAAGCGAATGAATGGATGGATGATTGATTGATTGATTGATTGATTGGATGGATGAATGATTGAATGAATGGATGGATGAATGAATGTGAATGTGTTTTTGTGGCAGTAGTTTTTAAAGCTTGTCTTGAAGAGTGTTCAATGTGTGTTCTTTTTTGTTCTCATTTACCATATTTTCTCTATTAGAAGTGCATCTCTGATAGAAGTGCATCTAATCCAAAATTGCATTTATTGTATGCTGGATCATTAAAACACAATTTATACTTTTAGATACAATTTAGATACTTCTCTGTCATTTATACACATACATCGTACATGTATTTTATTTTCCAAAATTGTCATGTGTGGGTAGTGACTGAGTATAAGATTTTGATATGCATAAAAATATGTGTCCTTGGCTTTGATGCTTTAAACTGATACTGATTATGAATACTGCCAACTTTAATTGTGAAAGATTTGGGGGCAGTTCAATTGCAGATATGTGGTAAGTGATAACATTGTCATGTTTTATGAAAGCGCCATCTGGAGTTCAATTCTCAAATTTTCTTTACTTTTGTTTTTATCCTTTATTTGCCTGTGAGGGCGGTAATCGTTCAGTTGATTCATGTTCACAACCACGTAACCTAATAGCTTATACAGTGCTCTCCAATATTACTTAGATAAGGAATGCTCAGTAGTAATTGAGAATTAGAATCCAATTAGTTAGCACAATTTATTTTGGCAGCTCAGAATTATCTCTAGCTACAAGTTATGTCGGAAATGTATGACATTTGACAAAGAAAGTTTCTTTCTTGTTTGAGTAATTGCTGCTTAAATTTGAGTAATTGTGCTACTTATACCACAATGTTTTACAAAGTTTGTTACCCCATTTGGACAATTTTCATCATTGCAAACAACAATAAAGCAGCATTTTTTCTGTTTAAGCTTAGAACTTCCTCGTCTTTTTTAGCCCCATCTTAACAATAGGAAAAATCCCTGAGTGAATTAATTTTTTTGTTGATACTCAACATGTTCATCAGTTTATTTTCATTCTTGTATATACATATTGATTTATGCAATTAAGGTAAACATTTTGATCGATTTATGTTTGAAGTTTTTTTGCCATATTTCATTTAATAGCTGGAAATCATTCAGTAAAACAAAAACATTATATATTTTTTATATTATTTATTTTGAGTAGAAATCACAGTGAAATTGCTAGAATGAATATCCTCAGTATTGTTGCTTTGTGAAAACAAGAAAGTTTGTGCATCTCTTAAATACTTTGGAAGTGAACCATACTCTAGAAATGCTATAATGTCTCAGAGGTTAGAGGTCAAACTCAATATGTTGGCTGGTCCCAGTGTTTCATCACCTTTGACTTATTGTTTGATCTTTGGCTCCAGGAATCCTTTCATGTGTTCTTTTTCTCACTTGACAGACTAGAGATGATAAACACATCAATTTACTTTTACTGAAGTATTCTATTCTATTCTATTCTATTCTATTCTATTCTATTCTATTCTATTGTTGGTGAGTTACTGATGATGCCTATTCTATTCTATTCTATTCTATTCCATTCTATTATATTCTATTCTATTCTATTCTATTCTATTCTATTCTATTCTATTCTATTCTATTCTATTCTATTCTATTCTATTCTATTCTATTGTTGGTGAGTTATTCTATTCTATTCTATTCTATTCTATTCTATTCTATTCTATTCTATTCTATTCTATTCTATTCTATTCTATTCTATTCTATTCTATTCTATTCCACTCTGCTTTGCTCTACTAGAACATATAAACAAAGTGAGCAAAGTTCTGTTTTTCAGCATGGACAAAATCAACTTGTGTTCTAAAAGTCGAGTGACATACATGTAACTTCAAAACATATTTGAGTCAGATTCTCTCAACTGGATGCCTAAGTAACTGAGGAATTCCTACTTAACCTAATTACTGGTGTCTTCCAGCTTTAACATGTATTGGAAGCTGTGCTCCTTTTCAATATATATTACAATGACTCACATATTCTGTTATAAAATGTTATAAAACATCTGCTTCTGTTTATTTTTAAATGAAATTGTCATTATAGTGGCTGTGTCGAAAAATTTGAAAAATGTGTCAATCAAATCGAATCAAGTATTAATGTTAGAATTGAATTTTGTGTTATTTTGTTTACATGTATAAAGTTTGACCTATCGTTGGCATATTAGTGTTACACTGTTTCTCTTTGCTACTATTATTGAGGTTAGATTTCATCTTTGAATTTGTCTTATTTAAAATCAATCTTTTACTGGTTGAAACTTGTTACAGCCGGATTTAACCAGTTTGAACAAGTTTTCTCTGATTAGATACAAACTTGATTGTGCTGGATTTTCAAAAACAGTTGAAAACCAGTTTGCCTAAAATCCAGTTTAAACCAGTTCAAACCGGATGTATTCACCATCTTAGTAGACGCATATTCAAAAACTGAATATTGTTTCTCGACAATTATAAACTACTACAACTGTTCTTTTTTTTATGAGCTTTTGTATGTACAGCATTTTGTTAATGTCATCGTTCTCTACTCCCTTTACTGTTAACAACCCCAAATGAAATATTCTCTTCTACCGGATTTCTCTCACAAAATTATATTTGTTTTTCCACCTTATGTTTTAAGCTGAGCACCTCTCGCTAATTATTGTGATCACCATGACAAATGATAAAATCAGTTACTATGGCAACAAAGCCAGGAATATTTGGTCAATGAAGCTAGCCCGCACAGAAGGTGGTGGATTCCGTTGGATAAGATTTCTCATGAACTGTACAAAATCCAAAGCCTTATGGGTGCTTACAGGGGTCATACAAAGTGAAAATGCAACTTTATAAACCTGTTTACAGTACAAAAACCCATCTGCAATTGATCATACTAATAACATGCATGCCCCAGTAAGCTTTGGAATGCTGTAATTTGCTACATTTTCACAGACACTGATATTCACTTTCTGATTGTCTATATTCATTGTGTAATTATTTAAATACTAAATTTGCTCTCTCTAATAGAATGAATATAAACCAAAAATTGCATTTACTGTATCCTGACTGAATCATGAAAATATGAATATGTTACCATAGAAACACACATACAATGTACATTCGTGTAAACATGGGGGCTACCTACAGGTACTGTAAAATACTTTATTTTAGCTGGAAATAATTTTCGCTGAAAACACTTTTTGGCTGTTTTTGTATGGAATTTATTTTAACTGATTTTTGACAAGTTGAATGTAAAAAAGGTATATTCGCTGGATTTTATTTTCACTTAATCATTCCTTCAGCAAAAATAGCGAAAATTTATTCCAAGTGAAATTATATAATATTTTACAGTATACTAATACTGTACTTCTTTGTTTTCTACCAATTATAAAGTTCTATAATTTTTCTGAAATCAACATATCACTCAGTACTGGGTAAATGTCCATGTCCCATATTTCATGAAAAAAAGTCACTAGTTGTGAACATTACGGGTGACCAGACACGCAGGGCAGTAGTTAAGGGGTCTTCCTGCCTGAAGGCGTGTTATAGTTTAAAAATGCTAAGTCTTCAAAGTATGACAGATACATGCATCGATGAATAAACATTGTCACATTGTGTATATACACTGACATACACTGACTACAGTTGATCTAATAAAACATCACAGATGGCCTTCCCCTGCCATCTGCTGTACTAAGTAAGTTCAATATTTGAAGAAGTTTACTAGGTATCACACCACTAATACATTCCAACTGAGAGTGGCTGGAGATGTTCCAGTAAATCTAACACCTTTCTGATGCCTGGGAGTTTTACTACATTTAAAGGGGAACCGATACTATAAATAGGGGCAAGATGGCCACCGCAATTAGTATGCTAATCTGAACGAAGCCGATCACATCGTGGCGGGAGCTCCGTGAAATGTGCCATTTACGATGTTTAGAGATCAAGCTGTGATTCCAAATATATTTCTACGGGGGCATGAATATGTACACTCATCTGGTTGGGCTTTTGATGTATAAATGTTGTTGTTTTCGGTCGAAACGTGCCGCAACAGGTACAAATCATGAGTTTAAAATGGTGGCTAATGTGTGCAAAATGCCTGTCAATCACAGTTTGAGTAAGCGAGCATAATAAGCATTCATTTACTTAGTGGACAGAGGCGGTGTTAATTACCCATGAGCATATGGTACAATCCATGGGATTGAGAGGTTCCCCTTTAATGCTGTAATTTTCCCTACAAAATTTCAATACCACGTTTTGTAAATTTATATTCTGAATCATTGGCTACAGGTCTTGATTGAAATACCAGTAAGCAGGGAGCTTGCATGTTGATTTGTCGATGCAAGTCTCATGACTAAAGCATTTACATATTCTTGCAGTTAATTTCCTTATAAGGAATGGGCTTAGTATTGATTGGTTGGTATAGGTCACATGGTGCAAACATTTACATATTTTATTTTCTAATATGGAATGGCCATGATATTGATTGGGCGGTATAAGTCACATGTTGCAAATATTTACATATTTGATTTCCTAATATGGAATGGCCATGATATTGATTGGTTGGTATAAGTCACATGGTGCAAACATTTACATATTTGGTTTCCTAGTATGGAATGGCCATGATATTGATTGGTTGGTATAAGTCACATGGTGCAAACATTTACATATTTGGTTTTCTATTATGAAATGGCCATGATATTTATTGGTTGGTAAAAGTCACATGATGCAAACATTTACATATTTGGTTTTCTACTATGAAATGGCCGTGATATTGATTGGGCGGTATAAGTCACATGGTGCAAATATTTACATATTTGGTTTCCTAATATGGAAAAACCATGATATTGATTGGTTGGTAAAAGTCACATGGTGCAAATATTTACATATTTGGTTTCCTAATATGGAAAAACCATGATATTGATTGGTTGATA